GGGGGGGGGGGGGGCGGGGGGCGGGAGCCGCAGCTGAGCACCACGGTGCTGCGTCCTCGCCCGGCTCCTCCTGCCTCCCCGTGCCGAAACCCGTAACCTGGTGAGACGGGGCGCTGGCAGACCCTTGTGATTCAGGCCCCAGTCACCGGTGCCTTTTCCAATTAGGCCATTTTCGGCACAGGCCTGTGCCTGCCCTGAGCGCTTCGAATTGCCATGGCAACAAGAGCTCTCCATTTTATTAATCGTCTGTGTGGCCTTCAGGTTGGCATGGCAACCGGAGATAAGAATAGAAACACAGGAGTGAGGAAGCGGCAAAGGAGCCCGCGGAGGGATGGCTGGAGCATGTCAGGCTGAGCGGCACCCGCTGACCCCGCGCTGGCTGCGGGGAAGAGCCTGGCTGCTTCCTTCTTGCCTTACACGGTAGTGTCGGTTCAGGACCCCTGTGTGCGGGGGGACCTGGGCTTGGCACGGTGTGGGGCGTATGGTGGCCGCAGGAGCCGGGGAGGAGCGTTGGGGTGTCAGGAGATGTACACAGGTCCAGCCTAGGGCACAGGAGATGTGCAGGGGAGCTTTGCACTAGATTTAGCGCTGCTTGCTCTTGGGCACGCCTGGTTCAGGGGTCTCAGCCACGCAGCCGTGCCAGCCCTGCGGTGCTACATCTGCCCTGTTCCCACCGCGTGCTCACCAAGGTGCCTTTCTGTGGCAGGAGGAATTCCAGCTGGAGAGGGGTCCCCAGCTGTTGGCACTGGTGGAGGACGCCTTCTCCAGGCAGGCAGATGGACTGCAGGACCGCTGGCTGATCTCTCTGAGCAAACCCAATGAGAATGACAAGCACTTGCTAATGACACTGGCAGGGGAACAGGGTAAGTGCTGGGAGAAGGAGCCTTCCCATGATGGCGGGAGTGTATTTAAGGGGCTCTCAAACGGAGGTGCTCAGCCATGTTGGAAAGACCTTTTGCTCTCCAGTCCATTTCAATCCCACCAGCTCCCAGCGTTAACTGGACTTCAGGGATGGAGGGGGACTGAGGACATAAGACCCTTTTTCTTCACATCTGTCTTCTAGTTTGTCCCTCACCGCTTGCACGAAGCTCCATCTTCTGCACTGTGCCTCCTGCTTTGCTCCCTCCCTGGATTGCCTTCACTTGAGCATCCATCAGCTTTATCCCGGTGCTTATATACTGTCCTCCATGGGCAGGCCACTGCAGCAGCTGGACATGACAGCCTGCTCTTAGTTCACTTCTTAACTAAACAATTCTGAAGTCATGTCTGAATTTGGCCAGTCCTGACAGTGCCTCCCCTGCAACCCCAAAGAAATAAAAGCTGACAGTGAAAGGTGGCCTGGGCTGGAACATTTTACCATCTCTTTAATCCCCTTCTGGTGATGGGGTGCTTTTCCTGTACTGCTTCTGCTGCCTACTTAGTGACAGAAGCCTCTAATGTTGACTTTATGGCCTATATGAAAAAAACCCAACAGTATTCTAAAATGCCCCATACTGACAGCAAAATAGAGCTAACATTTAAGTGGTATTTTCTGTATTGATGCCTTAAATCATTGCATCTCTCCCAAGCAGAGCAAAACATACCTCATGAAGGCTGTGATAGGTGAGCATGGAGCTCTGCAGAAACATCTTGAGTGCTGCAGCTCAGGATCAAGTTGTGCTGGATGGAGAGGTTGGATCGGGCAGCATAGGCACCAGCCTCCGTGATTTTTGGATGTTGCTGCTTTCTCCCAGAGCAGACGCAGATCATGAGAGCTTCTGTGGCTGTGGGGAGAGCACCTAGGTGCCTCTCGTGTCAATTTGTGCCGGGAATTTTTTCCCCCTTTAAAGAACATTTGGAGGTACCCTTGGCTGTGGTCCTTGCGTTCTTTTAGTCTCCTAACATAAAGCACCAAAAATTTGTATTCCCATGCCTCCAACCTGTTGGGGATTTCAGAGTGATGAGTACATCTATCTGAGCTAACCTGAGCTGAGAGCAGCACTAATCTCTCCCTCTCCTTTACAGGCGTCATCCCTACAAAAGATGTTCTCATGGCACTGGGGGATGTTAAGAGGAGCTTAGCCGAGGTAAGAGCCTGTCTGCCTGCATCCATTTGTTAAGACTAGCTATACAATTAAAATAAGCAACTTGAAAACTGGGAGCATATCTCAGTCTAACCGAGTGCTGAACCCACAGCAGGCAAACAGATGAATCAGACACTTGGCAAACTCCCTTCTCCTCTGTCTGGTAGTTGCCAGGCCATCAAGTGTCTGTTCCCATTAAGACAGTAACTGTGGGTTATTCCCTCCCTGCTTTTCTGGCTTGGTTGTGAAGCCGCTATTCACACATTCATTTTGTTGAGATACTTGCTCTCATCCCTTCTGCACTGTTACCTGTGGCGATGTGGGGTGCTGCAGAGCCCCAGGTTTGGCCCCGCTCACCCTATGGCTGATTTAGATACATTGGCTGCTCTCAGTAGCTCAGGCTTTGCTGAAGAAGGTGGGAGAGGTGCTGGTACTAGATGGGACACGTTCACATGCCTTCTTCCTGCAGTCCCAGGGCCTGCATTTCACTCCTTTAGACAACTGCCTACACAAGGGCAGGCAGAGGACCAGAGGCGATGGATGCCAGACTCCATTGGCAGCTGCTTCTAGCCCTCACGTATTCCCCTCTAATGCTGGACAGCTTGGAAGAGGATAGAGATGAGGACAGATCAGTCCCACAATCTCTGACTTTGCCCCTTAGGCCTACGGGATATGTAGGCACTGAGGGCCGGATTCTGCTTGGGTTTTTTACATTACTGGAGTATTTTTGGTGACTTTAGCAGCAGAGTTCGGCCACTGCCTTGCTGGCTGGCTGCTCTCAGATTTTCCTGTGACCTACCAAACCTGTGCAGTTAGACAAAGCAAATTAAGTGCTCAGTGCTGTATTGATTGGCTTACACCAGAGAAAGTGTGAAAAGCCAACCCTTTAGAAATTGTGTGACCGAAGTATCAGCAGCTAGAACTGTTCAGAAGGAAGGATTCCTGTCGATGGAAGGTCTGACTTCTTTGTGGAACTGTGACCCTACGTTACCATGCATCCTACCAGAGCAGCCTCGTCATCTGCCTCCAGCTCTATCAATAATAAAACATTGTTCATTGCCCTGACCTTGCACTAGCACCAGCTTGGAAGGAGGAGGGAGGATATTCTCTTACACCCATCATACTTACTATCGAATTGATACGTAACCTGCTTGAAATCTGCCAAGTCCCTGAGACCGATGTTAGGCTTTGTTTGCTGACAACCACAGTGGGCCCGTTTCTAGGGCAGGTTTTTGAATCAGCAGCCAGATGTTCACTTTCAAGACCTTGGAAAGACCACTATACCCTCTTAGGACCAGAGTTTTAATGGAAACCTATTTATTATGATTTCATGCTCTGTCACCAAAGCCTTAGCACCCATCAATGGTCCATAGTTTGTTTTGGGTACTCTTAATCTTGGGCAGTTTGTCCCATGAAAGCCTGCTTGTCTTGCACGTAGCTGTGATCCTTGTGCAGGTGGTCAAGGTAAGATTGTGCCTACTGCCATTTGCTGATGTGTCAGCTTTTGTAGAAGATGGTGTTAGATGTGGTCATGTGCCTTCTAGTCATGTAAGACAGTGTACATCCTGGCTCCCCAACCCTGGCTGTTAGTTCCTCTGCCCACAGTGACAGTCCTGTACTTGGACCCTTGAAAGTCTCAACAGGATCCCACCTGACTGCAGGCCAGGGGATTTAGTGTACCCATTTCTTCCTTCCAGATTGGCATCCAGAATTACTCAACCACGACAAGCTGCCAGTCGCACCCCAACCAGACACGCAGTGATTATGGGAAACTGTTCGTGGTACTGGTGATCATCGGCTCCATCTGTGCCATCATCATTGTATTGGGGCTCATATACAACTGCTGGCAGAGACGCCTGCCCAAGATGAAGAGCATGGTGAGCACTGGACAGCTGGAGAAGGTGGCTAGACTCTTAGCCCTTGGGATGGAGGGGACTGGAAAGTTAAGAGAGATTGTTTTCCCCTGTCCACTTACTGGACATAGCTGGATACACTGCTGGAGCAGTAAGGGAGCCCATTCAGGTGTAAGAGAGATAGAAGCCTGTCTCTTGCTTTGCTCGGAACAGCTCGTTTCCACTGCAAGGGCTGGCCTAGGAGTAAATTTACCTTTTCCCACTGACCCTGCAAAGTCCTCAGTGACCCTTGTAGCCTGGTCTGATTGTGCTTCTCGGCAGCATTAAGACCTGTCCTCTTTTGTCTCCATTTGTGTTTCTCTTGTCTTTTGCAGTCGCATGGTGAGGAGCTGCGCTTTGTTGAGAACGGCTGCCATGACAACCCCACCTTGGATGTGGCCAGTGACAGCCAGTCGGAAATGCAGGAGAAGAAGCCAAGTGTGAATGGTGGAAACACCGTCAATGGCCCTGACAGCTGGGATGTCCTGATCAATAAGCAGGCGAGCGAGGATGTGGATGTGTTTGAGGAAGACACCCATCTTTAGAAAAAGAAGGGAGGGAACCACCCCTTTAAATACACTTGTCTTTCTCCTGTCTTGACGGATGGACCATGGGATTAGGTGGCTTCTCAGGAACTTCTCAAAGGCTTGGGACAGGTCAAGTCTTTGGGCAAGTTTTCGCAATAGAAGTCCTGAGCCCACATCTGAGGCTTGGAGCCAGGAGGATCACTGAACAGAGGGAAGCGGGAGGGGTGGGTGTGTAGGTCTCTGTGTGTGTGTTCCTATCAGTAGCACCAATGCTTTCATCACCTTTAAATGCACTTACTGTAGCTCTCTGGTAGTGGCTGAGAGTGGCTGGGCTTGAGAAGCAAGGCGGTGAGGCTAAGTCTGCCACCAAGAGTGCAGCTTTGGGGAGTAAATTCACTTTGGGAGTCCAGCTGCAGCTATGGCAGCCAGATCCTGACCTTGAGATCACATTCAGTCCCTGCAGGTACAGTAACACCTGTGCATTCTGGATGGAGGGGAGCCAAGACTCACTTGATGTCTTGGGCAGTTTGCATTCCATGTGTGAAGAGATTTAAAAAAAAATTTTTTTTTTAGTGCTCTAGTATTCCGCTGCTAATTAGCTGGGCTGATGTTTACATCTGGAGGAAACATTCTGCTGTCATCTCATTTCCCTCCTCAGCACAAACAGCCCCACTCCCTTTTTCAGCTCCCCAGCTCCAACCTGAGTTTGCAGATTTTGAGCACTTTACCCTTGCTTGACTGATTGCAGAGAATTCGGTGCCATGGTGCCGCATCTTAGGTGGAAACTTGCTTTAGTTGGAGAATTGCTCAAAAAGGACACTTACCTGCCTTGTTCATGCACCAGCCTGTGAAATCAGCAGCAGAGTATCCCTTGTCTAAGTCTCAGTTTTAGACTGGCAGGGCTTCTCCACTCCTGTTCCATTTTCCAGGATAGTTTGGTTTCAGTTGGTCTTTTTGAAGTAAATGTAAAGACTATGTGAGACTTTTTAAACAGGGAGAAAAGTAAAACCTTGGAAACAGATAATTTTCTGGTCCTTTTGTTTCCTTTTCAGTATCTTGCCCTGAGGGGGGGGAAATGTTTAATGTCCCATAGGTGTAAATCTGGGTAACATCTTTAAAATCACTGCGTTAAGCAAGTGTAAGAGTGGATGAGATGAGAATCAGATCTAGGAGCTCCCCAATGAACGTTTCTCAGGCATGCCTCAGGCAACTTGGAGGCTCCAGCTCCCAGAAGACGTGTGATAAAAGGCACGTGAATATGCATAATTGTTCTCTGAGCCCTGCCTAAACCCAGACTCAGAACTACTGTCAAGCCTGAAATCCCAGAACATTTGTTTCTTCTGTCATTGAGGGACTGAGGGACTTGCTTCGGTCAGAGGTAGCTGCATTCCTCTCTGTTACGGTGATCTGCATGCTTGCTTACTGCAAGATGCAGCTGCGCATTTGGTCTTTAAGGGAACCTTTGTACAGAAAGATCCCAGATAGGCAGCCTGATGCCAAGCCTGTAAATCTGTCCCTGTATGTATAGATATCTTTAGCATGTTCATCCCTGATGTGAGTGCCTAAAGTCAAGGTACGGGAGTCTGTTGTTTCATTTTGCATAGCGCTTTGCATACAAACTGAATCACAGATCACCTTGGTGTAAGACCACGTTGATACCAGTCTATTAGGGATTCAAGAAAGCCGATAGCCTTTGGTTTCCTATCCAGATTCCAGTTTTCAGTGGTTTTATCCTGCCTCCATACCTTTCTCTGTGTTCTGTAGGAGATGGTGGTCATCAGCTCCTTTTGTGTCTTGTCGGTAGGGTTGCAGAGATGCTCAGAGGAGTTTGCTTTCCTGCCGCAGCAGGTGGTGACAGGGGCCAGTCCATGTACATGGACAACTGGCTGTGGCCCTTCTCTGGCCACCCCTTGCTGACGGCTCCTGCTGAGTTTGATGGGTCCGTGCAGTGACGCTGCACGAGGTCAGTGGCTGTGCTGATGGTACTTTGGGGCTCACAGGATTAAATGCAAGTTGTTGTTACGGTATGGTGAGTAAATTAAAAGCATGGAGTTAAAATTTGAGTTTGTATAGCACTTAGCATAATGGGGCCTGCCATGGCCTGTAGGCAGTTTCACCGTGTAAATGTTTCTAAGTCCAATAATTCTCATTAAATATGTTTTTAATGCCTAGTGGCTATTAAAAAGATAATGCCACCAATCAGATGTGAATCAGTTCACCCACAAAATGCTTCCTTGGTGTACATCATTGCTAGGAGCTGCTTTGCTGTCCTGTTTTCTCTCCACTTTACTAATTCGGAGAAACAACAAGCTCCTGATAAAGCAATGCTTCTGGCTGGGCTCAGCACCTCCTGATCTGGTGTCGAGTCATCAAACTTTAAAGAAACCAAGGCGGCTATGTGGGCTTGTTAATAAGCTAGCAGGTTCTCCTGATTTGCTCGTCTGACTTCTTATAGCCTGAAGGTTTTCCAGAGACTGTAGAGCTCTCTTCTGCGTCCGGAGCATCCAGGCATTCTTGAGAGTGTCTAAGGGTGGCTGTCACAAGGCTGAGAACAATTTTCTGCTGTCTCTGACAGGGTGTCCCTGGCTGTATGATCTCAGTTTAGCTCCAGAAATCTACTGGTAATAGCATTTCATTTTAGTCTGGTGATACTTTTTATACCTTTACCATTTGTTTTTTCTCTGTATCATTGTTTGCACTAGGCTGATCTTGGTAAGTCGATTGCACTGTTGTCCCTCTCCCGTCAGCCTTGCGGATTCGGGTCAGCTCCGGGGACCTGTGGGCTGGGGAGCGCAGTAGAGAGGCTCTTGGTAGCCCCCTTACTCTGTTGTTCAGTGCTTGGCTTTCCAGCTCTGCACAGGGAGGATTTAAAGAGGAAGAGAAACTTTGTCTTAGCATTTGTAACAGGAAGCTTTTCTATCACCTTAATGTAGTTAAACTTCTTTTTAACAAAAACTGTCAAAGCTGGACTTCTCAGAGCGGTGTGCCAGGCGACAGAGCTGTTGCAGGAAGGTAAAGTGATTCCTGCAAAACTTTTCCACCTCCTCGGACTTCTCTGCGGTCCCATCTGCCGAACGTTTGATCGCGCTGACACCTGCTGGCTGCTGGGAGTTGGAGACGAAAAATGAAAAAATGGACTTTTTTCCACCCCTGAGCTCTGCATATGGGTTTCCTGTGACCTGCCTGGGACAGTCCCCTGCTTTATTCACAGGTGGCTGTGAGCAGAGGGGCTTGCACCGGGCATGTACTGGATGGTTTGTGTGAGGACGTCCCTGTCTGCAAAGCAATGAGATGGGACGTTCTCTGGCGTCACCATTCTAGAGGCCCTGGGTAGCATTATGGGGTCTCAGCTCCATCTCCCTCCTTACTCCTCCACTTGCCCCCTTTCCTCCCGGGAAGCATGGCCAGAAAGCAGAAGCTCTGGCTTGAAGTGGAGGTGGCTCTTCAGAGACCATCAGGTGCTGGTGCGAGGAACTCTGCACCCTGGGGAACGCTGGTGATGGCATCGGCTGGATGCACATCCAAGATCAGAGCGGCTCTCCATCTCCATGGGGCGGTGGCCAGGTGTGGTCTGGGATGGCCAAGCCGCAGGTTACTCCTGCAGGCAGCCTTGTGGTATGCGGGGTGTGAAGAAACAAGAAGCGACCCTGTAACCGTGCTGTGGAGTACGTCATGCAGGTTGAGAATACACTTCAAGATACCACCTCGAGGATCCCACCAGGTGAAGGAGGCAGCGTGAAATGGAGGTACTTTATCGTATGGATCATTGCAGCATGACCTTGGAGCATCATGGCGGAATCCCACCGCAGCCACTACCATCAGCAGCTTGTCCATTCCCGTCCACCTTTGCAGCCGTGCGGGAGCATCTCTCCTTCACAGAGGGTTTGGGGCAGCTCGAACGGTCGGAGACAACAAGCACCTTCATCCGCGCTGGCTCACGAGAGCATCGTGGGCTGCTCTCGGCTGACAGCCAGACTCCCAGCTGTTCTTCTCAATGCTGTCGTTCCTGCTGGACCTAAACTGTCTGCAAGCCCTGCCCACCGCTTGGGACTGCTGCTGGAGAAGACTCGGAAACACTCGCGTCTGGCCCTGGGAGTGACAGGGTGGGGGTTTTGTTTTCTTTGCAATAAAACGCACCTCCTGGGTGTCCGAACACTGACCCGAGCGGAGTCCTTTGCTTGGTTGGGTCTGCCCCAGTTCACCTCCGCCGCCCCTGTGAGCCTGGTGTGGGTCCCTCGGGCGCGATGGGTGGGGGGTGTCTCCCCTCGCAGGCTGCTGCAGAAGCCCCCGGCCGTGCTCAGTGCCCGGGCTGCGGGGAGCTGGGTCCCCCGTGGGGTGACAGCCCCGGCCCCCT